AGATACTAATTTTATGGTTTTATGACAGCAGACGTCCTCGCCACCTGCCCTAAGTAATTGGTAATTGGTTCTCTTGAATTATCTTTAGATTTTATACAAAAAGTCAATTTATTATAATTAATTAATTAATTATATTATTTAAAGTTATTCTTACTTTAGAATCATCATTCTTTTTTCACCTGAATAATCGTATTTCATAGAAATAGCAAAATGTAATATCGTCGACAAAAAATGTCGACAAGAAAATCATTTAATTTTAATTTGTACTGACAACGAGAGAAAAACTAAAGAAGTCCTTTTTGCAAGGGACTCCTCTTTGCGTTTGAATTGTCCAGTGAACCATAAACGTTGAAGTTACGTAATTGGGAAGAAACACTCGGTAACTTACATAAGCACAACGTCGTTGTAAAATATGGAGTCTGCTCATAATTTACAATGTTTCATAAATGTTGCTTACAAAATAACGCGTTAATGGATTGAAGTAATATAACATACGTTACAATTACGTAACTCGGAGAAACATCTGGTAATTTTAATTATTTAGCACAACGTCGTAGTAAAATATGTAGTTTGTCCATAATTTACACTGTTTCATGAATGTTACTTACAAAATAGCGCGCCAATGGATTGAAGTAATATTACATACATTAAAATTACGTAACTCGAAGAAACCATCTTGTAACTTTAGTAAAAACGACATTCTTAAAATAGGTTGTAAATAGGTTACAAATGAAGAAACACCAGGTAACTTTAGTTATATAGCTCAACGTCGTTGTAAAATATGTACTCTGCTCATAATTTACAATGTTTCATAAATGTTACATACAAAATGGCGCGTCAATGGATTGAAGTTACATTACTTACTCAGAGAAAACATCTTGTAACTAAAAACGACATTCTTAAAATAGGATGCAAATAAGTTACAAATAGGCAAATTACTGCTGATAGGTTGAAACCATGAACGTAGAAGTTACGTAACAGGAAAGAAACACGCGGTAACCTTAATTATATAGCACAATGTCGTAAAATATGTAGTCTGATTATAATTTACACTGTTTCATAAATGTTACATACAAAATAGCGCGCCAAGGGATTGAAGTGATAAAACATACGTTAAAATTACGTAATTTGGAGTAACATTTATGTATCTTTAGTTAGGCGTCGTTTTACGTAGATTTTTTTTATAATTGTTGCATACAAAAGGAGTCGCTTGAAATAAATTGAGATCATATTACATACTTCAAAATAACGTAACTCGCAAGTCACATTCTTTAATTATTTAGCATATTTATTAAACGTTGTTACCTGATAATATGTAACATTGGAGATACCTATGTGTTACGTAACAAAAATGAAACAACTGCGTTTTTACCAGAAAAGCAGTTCTAAATTCATTTAAACATTTAGCTTCTTCTGGTTTACAGTACAACGTTATATGTGTTACGTAACACCAACGTGTCGGTTGCATATGTACGTAACAAAAATGAAACAACTGCGTTCTTTCTTATTACCAGGAAAGCAGTCTTAAATTAATTTAAACATTTAGCTTCTTCTGGTTTACAGTATAACGTTATATGCGTTACGTAACACCAACGTGTCTATTACGTATGTACGTATCAAAATTGAAACGATTTCGTATTTTTGTTATTATCAGGAAAGCAGTCTTAAATTCATTTAAACATTTAGCTTCTTCTGGTTTACAGTACAATGTTATATGTGTTACGTAACACCAACGCGTCTGTTACATATGTACGAAACAAAAATGAAACAACTGTATTTTTTGTTATTACCAGGAAATTTCTAGCCTTAACTTCATTTAAACACTTAGCTTCTTCTAGTTTACAGTACAACGTTATATGTGTTACGTAACGTGTCTGTTACATATGTACGTAACAAAAGGAAATTCTTAGTCTTAAAATCATTTACATATTTAGCTTCTTCTGGTTTACAGTACAACGTTATATGTGTTACGTAACACCAACATGTCTGTTACATATGTTACGTAACATCAACCTTTCTTTACTCTTTTGGTTCACTGGGTTGCTAATCAAAAATTGATTAAGTGAGATCATTTGAAATAGATTTTCATAAAAGTAACAAATGTTTTATTTGCAATTATTTTATCGACTGGAAGCCAAAGAAAACACTACAGGTTTTCCAAGTCTTCCCATCAATCGATAAAACTCAACCTCTATTCATCATCCATTTTTTTTTACATCCTAATAGATAAATATATTATTATTATTTCATTGGTACTGGAGTGGTTTAATAATAAATTGATTTTTTTAATTCAAAAGAAAATATCACTGCTTTTGTTGTAATGAATTACAGATTGAATTTGCAAAGTGGAAAATGATAAGAGTTATATTTAATTTAAATAATATAAATAGTACAGTAACTATTTGAACTTCCACTCTGCAAAATTTTTAACGAACTACTAACACACACACAGATACATCAATTAAAATATTTGTGTGTTAAACGTTTTTTTTTTTTGAATAATCCATCAATACGATGAATTTGTTTTTTTTAAATACAATCTAAGACATAATAATATTTCTATATATATAATATATTACATTCAAGTTCTTTTAAAAAAGTTATCGATAGAACCAAAGAAATCAAAATGGTTTCTTTGGATGTATTAAGATTTTTTTTTATTATATATATACATATATATGTATATGTATATTTATATATATAATATATTCATAATTATAATTCATTTGTAATGCCACTCATTTTTTTGTATCGTAAAACATTCTATCGAACAACAATGATTTTGGTTTTGGTTACAAAATGTATATTATACATATATACATATATATTATATATATATATATATATATATATATATATATATATATATATATTGTATGTATATCTTGTATAACATTAAGATTTTATAATTTTATGCAATTTATACAAATGTATAAAATTTCTTTTATTATCGAGAAAAATATTAAATACATCTGAGATAAATCAATTTGAAAATTATTATTAATCAATATAGATAATATATATATATATATATATAGATATATATATATATATATATATATATATATGTAGATCTTGTATATATAATTCGTCTGTACGGGTGTATGATTTGATGCTTCTCCTAAACGGTTATTCGGATTTTGATAATTCCTTTTAGAGTTTGTCAAAGAAAATTTTTAAAATTAATGAACAATAAAACTATAGTAATATTGTAGAAATAAATGGCAAAAATTACAAAAAAACACTTGTCATTGTTTGACATTGAAAACATTTGAACTGCCATCTGCTAGAATTGTCAATTCACTTGAAATTTGAATTTAGTTGAAATTATGAGCTTAGATAATATTAGAATATAATACACAAGAAAAATGTAATGTCTACATTATTATTTCCAAAAAGCATCTGAGATGTGCCACAAATTAAAATAATATAAGATAGAGTCAACAGTATATGATTTGGCAGATAAAATTATATAATTCAGTTTAATAAATAATGCAATTAGTCCAAAATTGCATGTTTTAAACTTATGCATGTCGCATTTTGGTTCACTTCACTAAATTATTTAACAATACAAAAGAATATTTCTACTTTATAAAAAAATGATTCAGAATTGTGTTTCATTTATCAAAAATTCATTTGTTCGACCGTTGGATATGGAATATTTAGCAAGTTGATCTTAGATTGAATAGTGCGCATATGAACTAGATTTTACAAATTAATTCACCTAAGATTTGAACTTAAACAATAATATTTATTAAGTCATTAGTAAGAAAAATGTACTTTAGAAACTTGCCAAAATGCCACTAATATATCGTATGAGATTATGAAAATTATAGACTTAATTATTGAGGCAATTATGTTGTGTGGTAAAATCAAGTTTGATATTGTTCTTTTACTGCAGATACTATATTATTTTTTTCGGAATTTCTTGTATTGCTTATGCTAAGACCATAAATGACAAAGGCAGGACATCAAATAGGATATTAAAAAGTATAGGATAGGATAATAAAAAAATTTGAACTTTTGAATTGTAGACGTGGGTACAGGACCACGTCTGTCGGGTCATCTAGTATATACATAATATAATAATTTCTCCTCGATCCATTAAGTACTGGACAACTGCATAAAATGTATACATCAATTACAATTTTGTAACCAAAATCATTCGTGGTCTCTCACTTATACATTAAACATTAAAAATGTCCCCTTTAATTCAAATTAATATATTCCGGGTCGACATTATAATTTTCAAAACTTAATCTAATAATTTTTTTTTCATTTCGCTCTTTACTAACTAATTTTATTTTAATTTTTTTTGTGACGCTTTCATCTATTCTTTACACTTTTAAAAACACACAATCTAAATTTAATAATTTTTCTGATATAATACATTTTTCTTTTTTCAACTTGAGCTACACTTTTTGTGTGCATTAATAATAATCTTGTTTGTTGATAATTAAAATTTAATTTTTGATTGGAAAATAATATTTGATGTTTGGTGCTCTCGCTAATAATATTTTTAACACTTTTGTTAAATAGTTATAATTTGTATTCCATAATGGTTATTCAAAAGATATTTGCATGATTGTCAAATTAATAAATACTTTTACAAATGTTAAAAACAAATTTCGTGAGTACACCACGCGACAGTGATATGCTATCAAAGGATTCCTGATCCTTCGATAACATTTCACCATCCTTTACCATCTATCCTTAACCTTAGCAGCACTTACGATTATTGTTAGCCCTGGAGTGCCTCTGAGCTTGAGCATGATCAGCCCTACGTCTTCTGGCATTCCTGGTGTTAACCTCTCGAGCTTTATTGCTCCTCTCAAGAGCTCCCCTTTTCAAAGGCTGTCTACCTTTATTGCTCTTCTTTGAATTCTTCTCCTTCTCTTCTCTCTGCATTTGTGCAGTGGGTGAGCCTCGGGCTCCACGTAAGCCCCGAGCTGAACCAGAGTCGTTCGTTGCATTCGTGGAGTCCGTTGGGGCCTCCGTGGGGGCTGGGGAGTCGTCGCGGGTGTTCTCGTCGGTCAACTCGAGGGCTTCGAGGGTCGTGTAGCGACCGCGTTGGTAGACAGACATACTAGGAAAGAATTAAATTGTTATAAGTATTTTTATTTAAATAAAAATAATATTTGTATATGAAATAAATTAAAAATGAATACTAAATTTGCAATTGTCTTTTCAAATCCTTTTCCCAATGATATGTCACCAGTTGGATGAGATTTGCCAGTTGGCAAGTTGCATATTTCTCAAATCAATTAAGATTTGCCAAATCCTGTTCATATGTGTATCATTGAATCTGCCATACATATATACTGTATCTTATATTATTTTAATCTCTGGCACATCTCAGCTGCTTTTTAGCAATAATAATGTAGACATTTCATTTTTCTTACTCATAATCATGAATTTATTATACATATTCTAATATTGTCTAGGGTCATAAGTAAATTGAAATTTTTGGCAGATGACAGTTTTCATTTGTCTTCAATGCCTGACAATGTCTTAAATATTTTCAATGTCAAACAATAACATGTCGTTTTTTGCATTTTTGTCCATTTATTTCTACAATATTACTAAATTTTTATAATCATATGCATCCTAAAAAATTGCCTTAACAAACTTCAGAAAGATTTATCAAAATCCGAATAATCGTTTAGGAGGAGTATATTTACATACATCATGGGTTGGTGATAATGAAGTAAAAATTTAGGGTTGTATGCATTAATTAATTTAATAACAAAAATGATAACAAAATTATTTATTTAATTTGATAAGGTAAAAAAATTATAACAAAAAAATACGTCCAAAAATATATATAAGATGGACTTATAAAAACTGTTTTAACTACATTTTGTAAAAAGCCTGTGAGAATGAATTATCTTTTATAATATCATTATTACCTTGGGTGCTCGATAAGTAAGTTCTCAAGGGGTCCAGTTGCAAGCTCTCCAGGACCTTGTGAAGTAAAGCATGGTGGTGGGGTAACAAACCATGATTCTTCCATAGTCCTCGCAGGGGAACATGAAGCACTTCGAGATTTATCAACCTTTATAAGAATATAAACTATTAAAACCTTTCTTAGATACAGAAGAAATATATTAATGGATAATGGATTTCTTGTGATAAAAAAAACAGTTTTTAAGATTTTATTTAAATTTATTATCTTGGCAGTTCAAATGCTCTCTAGTTGGTAATATTGATATGTTGTAATCAATTTATTATAAATTAGATTCTATTTCTGGGGCTCTATTACACCTAACTTTTTACTAACTTACTTAATAAATCCTTATTTACCTAACTAGTTCTAAATAATACATTGTCATCTACATGACAAATGTCAACAAATGTATTTCTTATATACCTGTCTAAAATTCCTGGACCCATGTTGCTTGTGCGTTGGAAGCACAGGAGGTGGTGAAGAACGCTGCTCACCTTCACTGTCAGTCAATCTTGCTGCAGGAGAGTCGACAGATTCCTCAGAATCAGATGGAAGCTCTAGAATAGACACAGAGGTATTAGAAATCAGAATCGAGAACATAGTTGTTCGTGGACTCAAATCACCATTGATCATAAGTATCAATTGTTGACTGCAATCTACTTTGTATCACCATTGATCATAAGTATCAATTATCAACTACAATCTACTTTTATAGTTCTATTATCCCTGTTACCTTTATCCACGAGCAACCAGTCATCGACTTCAACAGAAGTGATTCTCATAGGCGGGTTTTGGTTCTCAGGTTCATCGACTGGCTGTGCTGCTCCTCCAAGCAAATAAGCTGCTAAACTGTTCAACATTTTCTTCAATTCAATCTAAAATGATGAGGGACACATTAGAATAAATTACTATAGAAAAAGTAGTAAGTAGAAATATAACTATAGTAATATTTTTATAACACTTTATATTAATATGAAACCTGGATATTGTTGCAATTGTATAAAACGAGTTAATTTAGAGATTATATTTAATTTATATAAATTTTATAATTTTTTGTAGTAAACTAATTTATGACATTACGCCATTTTGAATGCAAACTGTAGTAACAATAATAAGTAATTAAAATAAATTTATTATTATTATGTACGTACCAATATGTTTTTTTTACTGATTTTGATTTATGCGCACATATTTAATATATTAACAATAACAAATAACTATTACTAATAATAATAAATTTTGCTAAAACACCAAAAGCATTATATCGCGTTTTTTCTGCACACCATTTTTGAACTGCTCTGAACTTTGCAACGATTATGGTATTTGACATATTTTTTATTTTTTTTTAAATATTAATTTAAAGCAATTAATTTTAACTTTAATTATTTTTATTTAAATAATACCATAAATTAATCAATAATAACTTAATATTAATTAATTACAATGTTTAAAAATATAAATAAACTAAATATTTTGCAGACAACTTCATGCTGCTTTTTTGACAGTTTCAAATTTGTAATGAAGGATGAAAGATATTAATAAATAAATAAAATTTTGTTGCACAAAATATTAATAAGTAAAGTGAATATATAATATTTATTTAAATATAATAATATAATTTATTTAAATATAATAAAATAATATACTTATGCTTGTCTACAATAAATATATTAGAATTATTATATTTAATTATGTTTATTTGTTTTGCAATATCATAATATATTTATTTCATATAACTTTGCAAACTTTTTTTCAATATTTATTAATTTTATTATTTGTTTTTAGTGAAGATTTATTCTTTTACAATATAATGGAAACCCATCCAAGATAGTGCCAAAAATTAAGGTTCGAACAATCAAATTGTCATTATATGATATCGAAAAGTATAATAACACATAAACAATAACCATTGATATATAAAAGATCATAAAAAGGTATATTAAAATATTTTTTTATATGTATAATTTATATAATTTGAATTTTAGGATTTGATTATTGACATATGTTATGTCTATCGAATTATTTAATGTTGTCTATTTCATTTGGATACATCGATATGTAATAGAAAGTTATATATATATATATATATATATATATATATATATATATATATATTTGAATAATGTCATATTATTAAAATAATTAATTTAATTTATATTTCAGGATTTAAATGCTGATACCACGATGAATGATGTGATGTCTATCGAAGAATTTAACTCTACCTATTCCAATAGATTCCTCTAATTCACAATAAAATATAAAAAGGTATTGATATACTTGGTTTATTTATATATTATCTGAGAGGTATTGTTATACTTGGTTTATTCAACTACTATGATGTTTAGTGGTATCTATCACATAATTAAATTCCATCAATATGCTGTTTCTTATAAATATCAATTTGTCGAATGACTAATAACAAATTTAACTAATAGTTTTTTAACTGCTAGTTTATAAGAGTTGAAACCTAGAATTCATAATTAACATTTGCCTGAGAACATTTTTATTTAAGAATCATTTCGGATTATGGATTCATATTCATTTCATATTGTTTCATATTAGAATGATGTCTATAGAAGAATTCAACTCTATCTATTCTTTACCTCAATATAAAAAATAAAAAGGTATTGATATACTTGGTTTATTTGTATATTCATAGAATAATAATGTAATTTGTATTTCAGCATTTGAATATTGATGGTACTATAATATTTTGTGATGTCTATCACATAATTCTATTCCATCATATACAATTCTTCATAATGTCAATTAGTCAGAGGATTAATAACGAATTTAACTAATCGTTTTTTAACTGCTATTTTATAAAGTTAAAACAAAGAATCCATAATAATTAGCATTTGCCCGAAGACATTTTAGTAAATAAAACATTTCATATAATGAACAAACTATTATGGTACTTTTATATATATTTAATTATATGTACCATCAATATCTGCATTAGGATGATGATTAATAGACTTTTAATTGGTTTGTATAACTAATGCAATATTAAAATTAATAATTTATATTATATACAGCTTTTTATGTTTCAGGATCTAAAGAAGTAGCTACTAAAACATATAAAAATACTATGGTCTAATATATTACTTCAAATAGCAAGCATTGCTACAAAATAATGCAAAATAGTCAATTAAATTATGTAAATTTTAAAATTAACATTGTATAATAATATTATAAATTGATGTTGTGAATATATAAATATTATATTTAAGCATTAAACTGCTATAGTTATATGTATCAATTTTGAAACAATGTTAAATGAAACAATTATTTTAAATTAATTGAAAAGTATTAAAAATTTTATGTGCTCTATTATTATACTAAACATATGATATTTTTTTTTGTAAATCAAAGCATTTTGGAGTTTGATGAAGATAATCAAATCAGAGTCGAAGCAAGTTACCTTAGACCAACTTCCAAAAGTTTGCAAAAAGAAAATAAAGTAGTTTTTAAGTGTATTTATACCTATGTGAAATAAATGTACAAATGTTTACTGTACTTTTATAGAATATTGTTCTGAATTTGAAATAATTCAAATTATTGTCCTAAACAAATGTAAAACTGTATTGACTAGTTTATCAATGTTATCTCTACCTAACATCTTGTATATATGCTTTATAGATTTATTTTTGTATAAATAAAGTTGCCATTGCAAATCTTATTCATTTTGGAGATTGAAAGTCATTGTA